TTTATCTCAACCTTGCCAAGTATGGTTCGAGACCTAATAAAGGCGCAAAACCAAATGCACATGGTGGCACAGCTATATTCATAAGGAACCGTCTAAAGCACAGCTTTCTTAATTCCTTTTCAACAAATTGGTTGCAGTTAACTTCGATCACCCTAAAAAATAGGGGGGTTGACCTTACATTGGCTGCAATTTACTGTCCACTACGTTTCGTAGTAACAGAAAAACAATTTTGCGAAGAGATAAGTTCCTAGCTGGAGGTAATTACAATGCGAACAGCAAGCCCAACGATCTCCCAATGCCAAAATTCGTCTTAAGGTGGAGGAAAACAAACTAAAAAAGGCATTCGAAGAGGAAAGAAATATTCAAAATATTATAACGACTATGTCTCCCAACGTTTCTACTAAAAAAACTCTATGGAAAGCTAGCAAAAAGCTTAAGCCGCCAGTAAGCACTGAAGACTGCGTAATGGCTCATGGGCCAGAACGGATGAAGAAAAGGCGTCTTGATTTGCAGAGCACTTCAGTATAGTATTTCAACCAAATACTGCTACAAATAGTGCACCTCCGTCACCGAACCATACTGCTCCTAGACACACTGTTAAAAGAATTGCCAATCATTACTCTTGTTTTTCTTGCAAAGCTTTTCAGTGCCATTTTAGAGCTAGGATATTATCCACAATTATGGAAAAAGTCGCTGATAATTATGATAGCTAAACCAGGAAACGACGCAACTCTACCGTCATCATATATACCAATCAGCTTGTCCAAACTTTTCGAAAAAATGCGTTTAACGAATGAAATAAGGAAGCTTTCGAATTGAGAGAGTATTGCTCGGCCGTTTTTCTTGATGTGGCGCAAGTATTTGACAAAGTGTGGTATGATGGCCTCATTCCTAAAATTAAAAAATCATTACCTAACACTTTCCACAATATCCTTGAATCCTACTTATCCAAACAATAACAGAAGAGTATTCAGTCACGGCAGCTGTTCCGCAAGGTAGTGTTCTTGGACCAATATTGTGCATACTGACATTCATTCCTACAAGTGACAAAGTAATTAATTCAGCATTTGAGGATGATACTTCTATACTAAGTCGACATAAATGCCCCCATCACAGCCACTAAAGTGTTACAACAGCACATAATTGAAGAATGGCTAGCGAAATGGCGCATAAAAGTTAATGAAAGCAACTGCAAACATATCACTTTTACACTAAGGCCCAAAACGTGCCCTACTGAAGCTCAAGGATGTGTGGAAACCGAAAGCTGACGAAATTATATACCTCGGAATCCACTTGGACAGGTGCTTAACCTGGAGACGACACACTTGCTTCCAAAAAGCTGCAGCTTAAACTCAAACCTGCCAGGTTACATTGGCTTTTAAACAAGTAGTCTGGACTAAGTCTTAGCAACAAAGTTCTTTTATATAATGCAACAATAAAATCGATATGGATGTATGGAATCCAGTTATGGGGCACGGCTTACACGACGAATGTAGATATAATTCAAAGGTTCCAATCGAAAACGTTAAGAGTAATAATGGGAGCACCATGGTACATGCGTAATGAAAATTTCCAGAGAAATCTATATATACCTACCATCAAAGAAGAGATTGAAACTGCAGCACAAAAATACTTAATACAATACTGCGTCACCATCCGAAACCTTTGGCTAACGTTCATGGCCCATGCAACAAGTCAAACCCGCCGACGAAGAAGAGACAAAGCAGCCTTTTAAGAGCAACGTCAAGCCAGCAGCCCATTCCTACTAATGGATTTAATGTTTTAATTTCGTTTAAGATTTTATTACTTATTTTTAGGCTTCCGATGTCGAAGCAGATTCAATAAATAAATATTAATGTTTAAAAAAAAAAAATTCAAGATCGTGTACCAGTCGAAATACTCGAACGAGTAATCGAAAATTGGACTCAACGAATGGACCATCTGAGACGTGGCCGCGCCCAACATTTGAAAGAGATAGTATTAAAAAAATGAATGCCAAATACTGTTCTTTCGTTCATTCTCCATTAAATTTGAATTTTCTGCGTTTTTTCTTTTAATTAAAGAATCTCGAAAAGGATCCCCTTTATTTGACGATTCAACTTGTATTTGTTGATTCAATGAATGTAATAAAGTGTCCGTTATTTTCGCGTATACAAATTATTTTTCTTCCTATGACTTCTGGGCAGGATAAAACGTTCTATAGATCATTCGAATGATTTTACAGTTTCGACATGTATTTTTTCAGGTATTTGCCCCCTTTAAGCCTACCCTTGGTATTTCAAGGCCTCTGTACATTCGCGTTGTGTATATACGATAGTGAACTCGTGAGATTTCGTAGTGCTTTTACTGGAAATCGCTTAACATCAGAGGTACTCAAGATCGCCTCTCTTGTTGGAGGCCAACGTATTTAACTACACTTACCTGGGGATCACTTGGGGTGAATGAGACATGCCTACATTTTTGTTCGCTCTCTTTGACATACAGAATTGGTCCGAAAACACTATCTTGACAGACATAAGATCTAGATACTCCGCAGATATATGTAAGTTACTTTACTTTGACTATAAACCTCCTTTTGGATGGTGTGATATGAAGACATGATAAAAATTTGCCGGCAAAGCCATTTTAGCTTATCGAATGTCTGAGCCAAATCACGAAGTATTGCTAATCACTACTTTTCCCAAAGAAATTACTTCCTCATTGATAAAGCGAAAATCATATTAATGATTTGGTATAGATGTCAGCAGCGTTGCGTCTTCTCCGAAAAGAGTTCTGTCAGATTTCCATAGCGAATTTCACGAAAAGAATTCGTCGTATTTTTAGATGCTCTATTTCAGATTTCAAAGCGTTTCTCATTATTTTATTAGCATTTTTTAGTTTTAGCTCTCAAGATAATTCAGCCCGGCTCCGTCGACGTTTTCAATTACGAGGCTGTTGGTGGTTGATATTGTACGTTGGACACTTGCAGTAGCCGCTGTGGCGAGTAAATACTGCCTAAACTTTGCTTGTGGGTGCTCATCCCGTTTGTTTGACTGTTACCGGGAAAGAGGGTTTAAGGAAACGTGATTTACATTGCACACTATTTCCTAGGTTACCAATAAAATCATTAAGTTGCTCGGGCTCGAGCAACATCCAAATTAAAAATTAAATATTTCCATTTCCTAATTCCTGTCGCCCGACCGCAAGGAATGTCAACCCCTGCAGGTGTACATATTTCTGATATGAAATTAAAACTCCTTATCAAGAACCATTAGCCGTTCCGTGGCGGCTTAGAATAAACTGTCGGTCTCTCTATTTGGAAAAAAGATTAAAACGTGTACCACAAATTAGAGGAAGAGTTCGCCCGAAATCCACTTCAGCGTACATATATAAATACATATACATATATATAGACACGCAATACAGCTCGTTCTTGCTGCATGAAGAGGTTAAACAGAAAGATTATTATAACCTTAACTGCAATGTCGATTCGATGGTTTCTTTTAAATTTAAGTGGATCGCTTCAAGACGGATTTCGTGGAGGTCGTCCAAGTTGTTATTCCTGAAGCAATTGATACTGTGCGAAAACTGATCGTGTGACTTATCGTGAGATCGATACAATTGGAGATATTTTGGGACCAGCTTACGTTCAATACTGCATGAGCATTTGACTGTAAAAAAATTTTTCACGTTGAATTTCAAACAATTTGTCTATCGCTCAAATGATGGTAAACTCGGGTACGGATATTTAGAGATAAGGCAGGAATAATTTGCGACCGGTAGAGCTTGAGTTTTGTTCGCAGAGAGAGAACTGTTATGTGCAACTTCATTATTGTGACCGTTAACAGTTCAGAAGGCACCAGCTGTTTGTTTGATGACAGGCGGTATTTCGTCTTAATTGGTTATTAAAAAAAAAAAAAAAAAATAATAATACTTTTTACGAAAATCTAAGTTTTTAAGCGGTCAAATTCATAGTAGTGTTACACGTTATGCACGGTATATTTAAAAGTTTTTTTTATTTAGGTTGAATTAAGTGTTTTTTTTTTTTTTTACATTGGATATCAAATAACTACTTATTATACATGCATGATATGGGCGTATTGGGCAGAATACATGGTCTCCTTGATCCAATGAATGGGTCCAACTCCGTATCACGAAAAGCATTCTGAAATCGTAATGCTGGATTCACCATGTTTTACCGTTTTAGTTGTAATTTTGGATTAAGTGCGGTCTTACAAACTGCCTTGAACCTTTTCCACCATAGCGAACAATTTTTGACTCGTCAGACCATAAAATGTTGCCCCATTTGGTCAAAGGCCAAGTCAAATGGTCTTTGGCGAAATGTAATCGTTTGACCGCATGTTGTTTAGTCAGCAAAGGCACTTTTCTGGGGCTCCAAGCTGACAGATCGTTTTCCCGTAAGCGTCGGCGGAGAGTTTCAACGCTGGCTTTCACATTTAGAGATTTTTTATTTCGGTGGCAGCGGGAAACGGATATTGCTTGACACGTTTCCGTCCGCGTTTTTCGACACCCGGTTTGCCGCCAATCAGCTTTTTAATAACGGGCTCGCGGGGTACAACACTTTTTTCTTGACATCACTAAATGCAGCATGATCAAAATTTCCACATTATAAAACAGAATACTGATAACCCAATAAGTTCTTACCGATAATTTAATTTTTTAATTCCAAAAACAAAAAGTATTTAATTTTTTGAGCTAAGAATTTGACTGATCAAAAACGCATCTTTCCTCAAAGCTTAGTCGATTGCAATAACAACAATAATTCTACCTTAAAAAACCAGTGCAATGGATCATTTGTACTCAAATATATTAATTTATTAACATTCCGTTATTTTTCAAACTTCGTAGCTTTTCAATCGTCGTAACCTAAATGTTCACTGCTTTAGTAAAATTGTCAAAGCTCTCACATACACACCGAAAACAAAGAAGATAAAAGTATTTTGTAAAGCTTTTGCCGTGCGCCGTTGATAAAAATATGAAATGAAATACTTTGTTGTTGACGAAATTCAAATATCTTTTTAGTCTTATCTGCACTTTCAATTTGAACAGTTGTGAAATAAAATTAACGGAGTTGCTACATTTCGAAGAGATGGTGTTCCTCGAATTGGGACTTGTGTCCTTGCTGCTCCTGTACATTTTCTACAAATGGGCAACACTTAAGTACAACACATTCAAAGAGCGCGGTGTGCCATTTGAAGAGCCATGGCCGCTAGTGGGCAACGCCGGAGCGGTGGTTTTAAATAGGGAGGGTTTCAATAAGACTGTTCTAAACTTTTACAAACGCAACAAACAACAGTAAGTGCATAAGCCTTTGTATTCGTAAGGGCGGGAATAATAAATATTATTCGATTCTTATTAACTGTTACCATTTCTGCTTATGGATTGCCACAATAAACCTAAGATTATATTAACAATAAAACTTATGAAATGCGAAAAAGGACTATTCCATGGTTCATGGCTAATAACGTTGTAAGCAACAAAGTTTAAATTGTTTAGAAAAATGTGTTTATTAGCGCATGTGTTAATCGAATCGTAAGGTAATTTTAAAAAACTCCTGGAAGTGAAATTAATAAAATTTCCTCGGTGATCATTCAATTGATAATTTCATTATAATCTTAGAGCTTCGGAGTGCCGAGTTTTCATGAGCTGCTTTGAATGTGTTCTAATTTTGAAGATATTTTTTCGATAAGAACCGAATATTAGACACCGCGCTGTAATTTATGCAAAAATTTATCGATGAAAAAACGTTATGAAATTGGGCTTTGTTATTGTATATTACAATTCAACCAGAATTAATTGAGTTTTGAAATAACTTAGAAATTCGAAAGCCCGTTAAATTAGATGTCAGAGAAGTGTAGACGTAGTAATATCCATTTACTTTTTTTAAACTGTTAGAAATATGACCAACAAGGTTTTGGAATCCGGTCAACTTCAAGGCACATATATTCATCTGAAATCTCTTCGTAACACTTCCCCATCACCAAATAATGACTACTTGTATTTGGTGTTATTGTACAATATATTAACATTTTTGCGTTTTATGAGAAAGATTTTGAATTTAAGAGTTTCTTGTGCTTTCCTATCACAACGGATTGCGGGCGTGGTCATCGCCCGATTTCACTCTTTCGCGATACCAATCGCACTTGTGCGACAAAAGTGGTGCGTGGGTATTCATCAAAATATCCCATTTTAATGATTCTCGAACTGCAACATGTCTATGTAGGACAGCCAAGTCGGAGCAGAGGTTTACATATATTAATACTGGCCCATAGTCGCGCAGTAAAGGTACGGCACTTGCATCATAATTGCACAACAAATTGGGCTAAGTAAAAATGCGCATATTGCAATTGTAGCTACAGACTAGTATGCACATGCATATATATTTATATATGCGTGTGAAGATATTTTGCTTCGATAGCAAGATAATAACGAATCTAATCACTCCAGTGGCATATGAGTATGTACATACATACATGGATATACATTCATATATAAATAAGAGAGTCCATACGAATAACCAATACGAGTATTTAATTCAATATCTCAAAGTATGCTTGACTTCAAGAACATTTCTATTAATAATACGCACAAACATTGGCATTACGTAGGATCTGCTACTAAAGATTTGACGGTGAATTACTGCGAAACTGGCTCGTTGAGTTCGGACTTGACGATTCAAGAGAAAACGGTTTGTTATCGAAATATATTTCATTTGATCGAGAAGTAAATAGTAAAATGTATAATCAATCATCCTCTGTATTTAACGTTTGCTCCTTTGGAATTATTTGTTAGTAAATCAATATTTCGTTTTCAGTAAAATCGTTGGCTTCTACAATTTTCGCTCTCCCGTTTTCGTGGTACAAAATCTAGAGTATATTAAGAAAATGACAGTCAAGGACTTTGATTTCTTTGTTAATCACACCCCTTTCTTCAAAGCCGACGATGATCCTCTAGTAAATGGCATGTTGACCGTTATGAAAGATCAGCGTTGGAGGAATATGCGCAATACACTTTCGCCAGTCTTCACCGCCTCCAAAATGCGCGCCATGTTTAGTTTGATGAACGAGTGTCTGAATGAATGCCTGGACCGGCTTCGAGATCTTACTAAAGGCGGCAAACACCATGATATTGAACTTAAGGGTTTGTTCACACGTCTGTCAAATGACATCATCGCCTCAACTGCCTTTGGACTCAAGGTCAATTCATATGAAAGTCCAAATAATGAGTTTTACTTGATCGGTCAGTCGATCTCAAATTTCCGTGGAAAGCAAATGATTAAATTCTTTGTTGCCAACACCATGCCTATTGTTCAAAAGGTAGGCACAAAAATGCATGATCTAAAAATTATTATATCTTCAAATAATTATTTATATTTGAATGCATTGTGAGTTTTTATTATTTTTTGTATATCAATTATTTTAAGATTCTTGGATATAAAGTATTCGATACCGATAAAACGGATTACTTTAAGCGATTAGTTATCGATACAATGAAATATCGGCAGGAAAATAAAATCCAAAGGCCTGATATGATCCAATTATTGATTGAGGCCAAAGAAGAGTCCGACCAGAACTGGTCCGACGACGATATAGTGGCGCAGTGTTTCATTTTCTTTTTTGCTGCTTTTGAAAACAACGCGAACTTTACATCGGCTATCTGCCATGAGCTGATGGAAAACCCCGATGTGCAGCAGCGTCTATACGAGGAGGTATTGGAAGTGCGCGATGAACTTGGAGGCAAGCCCTTGTCATACGAAGCAGTAATGAAAATGAAATACATGGATTTGGTCACTTCCGAAACATTACGCAAGTGGAACCTTGCTGGGTTTACTGATCGGCTATGCTCTAAAGATTATGATCTCACCGATGACGATGGAAATATAATATTTAAATTTAAGGCGAATGACTATGTCTGGTTTCCTATAGTAGGATTACACTATGACGATAAATATTTTGAAGATCCCGAATCATTTAAGCCCGAACGCTTTAGCGATGAGAATAAGGATAATATTAAGCCTTTTACGTATTTACCTTTTGGTGTTGGACCACGCATGTGTATTGGTGAGAAAAAAAATATCAGTATATTTGCAAATATCAATTATTAATTATTTATTTACAGGCAATCGATATGCACTAATGCAAGCCAAGGCCATGATGTACTATATGATTTTGGATTTCAAGCTGGAACGTTCCCCAAAAACCGTGGAAAATATTATGGATGATGTCAGGGGTTTCCAAATCAACCCCATGGGCGGCTTCTGGGTTCGCCTAGTGCCACGTGTGTAGCCTTAAGTTCTGTTGTATCACATTATAAATGTATATACATACATATATTCATGCACAGAATTAAGTGTATCATACATATATTATGAATGTTGTTGTTTTGGCGCATATGAAGCTTTTGAATTTGTATGCATTGCAATTAATATTGTTATTTATCTTGATCTAAATTAAATCAAAGTGATATACAAACATATGAACGTATCGTAATTATCAAGTTAATGTAAAAAAACTATTCATTTACAAACACAGTTATCGCTACCCTCCACTGAATATTAAATATTGTCACGCCCTCTCATCTCAACATTGATACTCATACGCAAAAGCTAACAAATACCGGTTATTTTATTTATCAAGTTCATGGCTACAATAATATAATATTTGGTATGTGTAGAGAATGAAAATGAATGTATATATACATACATACAAATATGGATATTAGTTTCTCAAAAGCTAAAGCTCTTGATTCAAATGGAGCTTTGACTTCTCTTGACATGTTTTTTCCAAATATGGAAAAGAGCATTCGTCAATTTGCGCGACTTAGAGTACTGTAAACAACGCTCATAAATATTGCAAGCTGCGAACCGTCCCGACCGGCTGCACGGACTGACCAAACAAATAAATAAAAACATACTTAAATAATATTTCAAAATTATACTAAATTCGTGCTGAATTTATACTGGATAAATTAGTTATTGAAAAGAACATTGCCGTCAACTTAAAAAAAAATATCCGAATGGAAAATTTATTTATTTATTTTTTTTCTTTAGTGGAACGGTTTGGCTTTTGTATTATTATTTTTTTATTGAATTTGCTTCAACACCTTCTTTCTCTTTAAGTTAAGAGTTAGCAAAAGCACATCAGTCGTTTTTTCTTAACACTTTATGTCGCCAATTGGAGGCACCAAGTAAAGCCATGTCCTTTTTCCCCTTTCCAATGAAGTTAAACAAATCAGCTCTTCTTCTGCATCCTCAGGTGAGTACTACGTCGAAAACTTTTAAAGCCCATATGGAAGACATAATCTAAGCCGCGTAGCCGCTATCTCTTTATTCCCTGAACTATGTCAATGTCATCGTATATGTCATGCAGATCGCCGTTGCCAAACATCGTCTCAAAAAAAGACGACGTCATCCAGGTTCTTGTACCCATAGCAGTCCAAAATTGCATCTCCTGGCAAGTAAGATTTCAAGGGGTGTAATGAAGTGTAGTATTGCTTCTGGTTATACAGTTACAAGGCTGAGCCTGATTCTCATTATTGTATCCTTGCACACCCGAGAAACGAGGGAAACCCTTGTGCAAGATCCTGTAACCGGCCAGCGGGGAGAGGGTTCGCTCTCCAGTAGAGCCACTCCAACATACCCGGTTTAAAGCTTTACTCAGTCTTCAGGCACGCAGCTCGCTATACGATAATGTGCGTTGGACTTGGCATACGTCTGGGAAGAGACACACCGCTTTTGATATGACCGCTCTGCTTGGATATGGCAAGTCGGAACACCTCCGGCTTTAGCAAGAATTCGTTTTAGATATCTCGGAGCTTCGCAATTCAAACGAGTAGAGGAAGCTTCATTGCATATTAATCGCCTTTGTAATTTAAGTTATGCGTAGAGTTTATTCTAAGCTTTCTGAACGGTTGAGGTTTTTTTAATACGACCGGAGGGAGCGAATTCCTCTGCCGAGAGGGGACTGCAATTATAACTTTTTATACTTTTTGGATTTATGTCTGTTTAGTATTCGAACCAATGACCCCTGCAATATTAAATATTCTTACATTTTAATGTAAATTGAAATGTTCGTAACTTCTTGAAGTTTTGAGACTGAAGGTAACGTATTTCTCTTTTCGTATTTTCTAGCGCTACTAAAATTGACTAACTACTAGCCAAGCTATGAAACATTTTATTGACTCACCTTCGTTTATTTTCAACGAGGTTTTCAATTAATTAATTCTGTCAAAACTCAATGGCTTATCGGATTTATATATAATATGTAAGTAAAACAATTTCAAACAACTTTTCAATCTTTGAATTTCTTTTTTCCTGAAATAACAAGCAACTATCAAAACATAAGTAACATACATATAGTAATGTATATAATATATTTAAACTCGTAGATGTAAAATCCATTCATTCACCCACTGAGTCAAGTACCATACTATTGGACGCTGGATTCCTGCCAGTCGTTTGCTCGCATCATCTTCTTTTTTTACGTCTGGCAGTTAAGTTTGATGGCAGCGATAGTCACTTTAGTTGTAGACAAATATTTACAGAAGTTACCCCAAAGTATTTAACATTGGCTCGCTGCAGATTTATCGAATTTTCCTCCTCCTTGGCGAATTCATTATATACACGTACATACAATAGATTGTATAGGAGACGGACTCTCTGGCGACATACTCAATATTTATTTCATCACCCCATAAATATAAGTACAATCTGATGTACATACATATGTATATATTAAAGCAGGATCATAAAATAAAATTATCGTTTACGTATATGTGTATATGTATGTATCTCAGCTACGGCGATTTTTGGTGTAAAAAATAGAATTAAGTCGATTTATATGTTAAAATTTATAATACATTGTTTCAAGAATTTATGTTTTATGATTTCCACTTTGGCAATAAATATATATCGAGTTTTATCCTTCTTGAAAATTATAGTTTCCAATGAGAAATCATCCCCCACTCGAGGGCGGAAAAAACTGTGGGCTCCTCCATATAAAATTTGAATATGTCAAAATTGAACGAAGGAAAAGTCAGTTACTGCTTTCGACTTTATTGTACGAATATATTTCTAATGGTGGCCACAGTCGTCGAGTACAAAGCAATGCGTACTGCTATGAGGTGAGGAGCATTACGAATCTTAATGATAAAATAAATAAAAACAGAAAAAGTCAACTCCTTCGAGTGTATCATTAACATGCAACACAAAAGCTCCTTATAAGATTCCATCAGTCGTTCGGAGGGAGCTGAGTATTAGCTGTTGGTCCCTGCATTTGTTGGAAGGAGCTAGGCCGAAAATAGCTTAAGCGGTTACAAAGCGCCAATTATACATATTTACGAATATATAAAATGCTGTTATCTGTAGCAACCGTACTCTTACCACTTACTTGTCTGTAATTGAAATATAAGAATTTGGCCAAAACCACTTTCAATATGCAACCATTTATACGTACACAATTTTTAATGGATTTTTATTTCACTTGGAAGGGTAGTTACCTCCTGCCAAAGGGAGACGCCATTTGGATTTCGCGTTCCCCTTTTGTTGTCAGTCCAGCTGGGACCATAAAATGAATTAATTTTTTCTTACACTCCTATTTTAAAATTGAATCAGTTAATTAAAACAAATTACTTTAAATGACTGTTATAACAAAATACAATAATAATGCTGATTTTGTGAAAATAATTGCGTAAAATATTTTGTCTCATTGAATAGCGCAAGAATAAAGAGAGAGATGATGAGATTCTTTAAATTGCAAAGAAAGTATTTCTGCAATCACAAATTAACTTTTATCATATACATATCTTTTGCCAATATAAATATATATAAATAAATAAAACGCACAACCACCAGCAATCATAACAGTTCAGCTCTAGAACCAGTCGTGTTTTTTTTTTGTTTTTATTTATTGAAAGCTCCTTATCTATTATCAATGAAATCAAAAACAATTATTTTGTTTTACGCTTTACTTACGCTCTCTTCGCTTATCTCTCAGTATTAAAGTCGAAAGCTTTGATAATTTCATCAACATCGCTGACTGTTAAACCATACCCGCTTTAGTTCATTGAGCGCGCCTAGAAGCGATAGATCTCAACTTTGTTTGCAATTATTCAATCAATTATAATAAGTTTTACTTCACCCTCTCTCTCACTGACATTCGCTGTGTTATTGAACAATATAAAGTGCAAATCGACGCGATGGCTTATATCGAAATTATAATACTTTCCGCGGTAGCCCTGTTTTCATTGTACAAATGGAGTGTTTCAAATTATCATATTCTTCGGGACAGAGGAATACCACACCATAAACCAACTGCATTGATTGGAAATTTCAATATGAATGTGTTGCTTGGAAAGTCATCTTTTATGAAATTTATCATCGATAACTATTCCGATTTCAAAAGCAGGTTTGTTCATTATTTCGTTGAACAATTTGTAATAGAATTGAAACAGAGCAAATCTAATTCACTGTATGACCGATCGGTGCTACACTGTCTACCCTCTATACCATATGTAACTGCATTTCGAGAAACACTGTATGCCATGACTGCCAGTTCGGGTTTTTTCCATTTACCCTTTGAAAAAGGGTAAAAGAAACATACACCATTTAAAGTACTTTTTCCCATCTCTCCGGTAATTTTCGAATGTCATCTGTAAAAATGCAGTCCTCCGTAACCAGTGCTCCTCATATAGTTTTACATTCGTCAAAAAAACAGTAATCGGAAGGAGCGAGGTCTGTAGAATACGGCAATTGGGGTAAGTTTTTGACCGTAACAGCCACGTGGTTCCAAGCGTTGTCGTTTCTGGCCGTTTTTCATGTAATGCACCGGTTAAACGCATTAGTTGTAGTCAAGAACGTTTTGCATTCATTTTTTCGCCTATCTTAGCCGCACACTCCTCTAATCCCCTAGGGTGCTCTTTGCCTTCGAAAACGCTACTTATTTAACAATTTTAGTACATCAGGTCAGCTGAGTTTAAAAACCACCTAAGTGAGCTACAATCTTGACCAACACAATGGGAACTGGATGGCAACAAAATACTTCTTCAGAACTTTAACCGTGGTGGTAAGTGCGCTGAGTCTCTGTGTGGAATATGAAATGACGATATATAAATAATTGGCGCTTTGTAACCGCTCAAGCTATTTTCGGCCGAGCTCTTCCTCCAATTTGTGGTTTTGCTTCTTGATGTTTTTCCAACAAATGGCGCCTTCGAACGGCAGATTTTTTATAAGGAGCTTTATTTCATGTCAGAAATACACTCGGAATGGTGGACATGCCCTGCCGAGGGGCGACCGCAATTAAGAAAATTAATTTCATTTTTTATTTAAATTAATTTTCTATAACTTTTGGGATGTTGTTGTTCGATCCCGAATCATCCTTCCGAATATATACAGTGTGTCCAAAAAATAACCGAACTTTATATTTAAATCATACAACATACAGCGCCATCTATTGAAAATTTGCAACATTAAAAAGATACATCCATCCTCTTTCAAACGCACCTAACATCATGTAAGTCGGATGACAGAAGTAAACGTGACAGCCATTTCAATAAAACTAAAAGTGTGCTAAGGGTTCAAAAATAAAATGGAACAAAGAGCAAATATAAAATTTTGTGTTAAACTTGAAAAAAAATTAATGAAAAAAGTTTATTGGGATTTATAGTATGAGTCGTACGCAAGTTTATACGTAGTTTACACGATTTAAAAATGGTTGTGAGGATTTAAATGACGGCCCGAGAGCAGGACGTCCAGAAACTAGTAATCGTGCTGAACTGGTGGAAAGTCCGTGAAATCATTGGTATCGATGCAAATTTTACTACGAGAATGTTGGCTGAGGAATTGAATACGAGTAAAAACACTATTTGGAGAATTTTAACTGAAGATTTGGGGAAAAGAAAGGTCTGTGCGCGATTAGTTCCACATGAATTAAATGACGACCAAAAAATCGCTCGAATTTTTAATGAAAAAAGGGATTTCTCTCATCGACCATCCTCCGTATTCGCCTGATCTATCACCATGTGACTATTTTTTATTTCCAAAACTGAAAACCAAGATGAAGGGAGCATTTATATTCCAGCCATTCAAGCAGTCGTAACCGAGGTACTGAAGAACATTTCTATAAATGACATAAGAAAATCTATGCATGCGCTGGTTGATCGTTCCAATCGTTGTGTTGAGTCAAATGGAACCTATTTTGAATAAATAGTAACTTTGTAAGATAATATAATGTGTATTTTATTTTATATCCAAAAAGTTCGGTTATTTTTGGTGTGTCCCAATGTATGTATGAAATGCTAACCATTCAGCTACCACGGCCTCCAAATGGCGATAGTGTCACCTAATTATCCTCGCAATGTCTAGATAATGAAAATGTAGAAACAATTATTTCTCCCTCTTTGACGCGTTTAAATTTATTTATTATTGAAAAACTAAATGGTGATTCCACGAAATGACCGTAAGAGAAATGGCTCTTTAGACCAACGCCCATCGAATCCAGTGTCAGCCCCTATTCAGTTTTATAAAAAAAATTACATTTCATCCTAAATTAGCAAAAACGAAAGCGCAAGCACACTGTAATGGAGAGAATGAAAAATGAATAAAAAATATTTCATAAATTTTAAAATTTTCAGAAAAATTTATGGAATCTATTCAATGCGTGACGTAAACATTTATATTCCTGACATCGATCTTATCAAAAAGATTGCCATCAAAGATTTCGACACATTTCCAAACCACAATTCTGTCGGCGGCGGTGAAGAAGGTGGCAACACATTCCTTTCAAAGAGTTTGATCGTTTTAAAGGATAACAAATGGCGAGAAATGCGGAACAGTCTGTCACCATCTTTCACGGGAAGTAAGATGCGATTGATGTTTCAATTGGTCAACGAATGTGTGGTTCAAGCAGTTAACTACATCGCCAATGAGTGCAAAATCAGCAAAATCTTTGTTGCCGGTTTCGAAACTGTATCTGCCTGTTTGTGTTTTACAGCGCATGAACTGCTTGAAAATTCCGTTATTCAAGATAAGCTTTATGAAGAGATATTAGAAACTCATAGATCGCTGGAGGGAAAGCCATTAAACTACGATGTTCTCATGAAGTTAAAATATTTGGATATGGTTATTTCAGAATCGTTACGTAAGTGGCCACCTGTGCTACTAACAGATCGCATTTGCTCTATGGACTACGCGCTCAAAGATGACGACGGAAGTCTTATTGCAGAATTCAAAAAAGACGATAACATATTTGTACCTATAATTGGCATTCATCGGGACCCCACTTATTATCCAAATCCGGACAAATTTGACCCCGAACGGTTCTCCGATGAAAATAAAAATAAAATCAAGCCTATGAGTTATTTGCCCTTTGGTTTGGGGCCCAGAATGTGTATAGGTGAGAAAACGAAGACAAACGACATATTGTATACTTGTATAGGTGTAAATAATCTCTCTCTTCTTATTTAGGCAATCGTTTGGCATTGATGGAGGTCAAAGCATTGATATACCATCTTATTTTGAATTTTGAAATTCACCGCTCGGAGAAGACATGCAGAAATCTAATGAATTCAATAGCCGGATTTACATTAATACCAAAAGAAGGCTTTTGGATGAAATTTGTGCCAAGAAACTCTGGAGACTCTACATCTTGATATGGACTTTCTAGGAGCAGCGCTAGACTTACAGATGTCACGAATTGAAGAATCGCGACGTGATAATTGAGTTTCACGTATAAGGATATTTTTTATAATCAAGTTATGATAAAAATATGGTTATTCAGAGATTCAGGATATACAATTTTATGTGCTTCCGATTCAGAAACATCTCTTATTCTTTCTTATTGACGTTGGCGCGGCTTACGCGATTGTAGCCGAATCAATATTAGCTCGCTATTCTTCCTTTCTTTTCGCAGTTTGACGCCATTTGGAAATACCAAGTTCGCAAAACTTTTTTCTCGAAGACTCCCAAAGCCGATTCGGCAGATGTTGACATCGTCCACGCTTCTGAGCTGCGTGGTAGGACGGATATGATGAGCGACTTGTAGAGTTTATTTTTTGTTCGCCGAGGGAGAACTATACTTTTCAGTTGCCTATTCAGTCCAAAGCAGCACCTGTTGGCAAGAGTGCGTTGATTCTCCAGGCTGACATTGTTGTGGGCGTTAATACTGATTCCAAGATAAAAATACGAAATTATCTACGACATCGAAGTTATGACTGTCAACAGTACCGTGAGAGACGGTTCGAGAAAGCTATAACTGTTGGTTTGATGAAAGGAAATATTTCGTATTGTCTTCGTTCACTACAAAACCCATTCGCTACGCGTCTTTATCAAGTATGGAGAAAGCAGAAACAACGGCAGAGGCGTATGATATCAATATTATCGGCATGCACCAGTACCTGTACACTCTTATAGAAGATTGTACCTGCTCTATCTGCTCTGTAGCTCGTATTATCTTCTCCAGCAAATTGACGAAACCACACGACAAAGAATCACCCTGTCTGAAACCTCGTTTGGTGTCTTACGGCCGAAGATACTTTGTTCAGAAGCATAGTGGCGGCGTAGAGGCAGCTGCCTCTTGACCTTTCGGAGGCGGCTTTAAAGTCAACGAAAAGTTGGTGCGTTTGGATCTTCTTTTCACGGGTCTTTGTGAATAGTGAATATATGAAAAATGGTTGACTTACCAGGTCTAAAGCCACACTGATAAGATCCATTCAGTTTGTTGACGTCTATATGCGGTATTTAAGATGCTAATCCCACGGTAATTGGTACAGACTGTGGGGTCCCAATCGTTTGGGGTTTCAGGCTCACTATCTCCGAGTGTTTCATTTTCACTGCCATTCACCGGGCTGCGGAAATGTTTTATCCATTCCATTTCATAAATTCAGTATACTCTGGGCATTCGTGACTAGATCACTCCTATGGGTCTCATAAGAGTTTTCTACGGTCTTGAAATTTTCCGTACGTCATCGTATCTTTTCGTAGAATTTTCGGACATTACTCTTGTCGACCAACTTCTGAAGCTCTTTCCTTTTTCTGCAAATGTGTCTTGCGTGAGTTGAGCCCAAGATACCTTCTTTGCCCACCTTGGCGTTGAAGTCACCAAGCACAAGTTTGACATCGTGGCGTGCAGCGGTCATAAGTATGCTCATGTATCGTGTCTGGCCACTCCCAAGTGAATGGCAGTCAAAAACTTTCCTCTGAAGTTCATGCAATTCGTCAAGGTAATTCAAAAACTCTTACTTTCTCATTAGATTTTAGAAAACATTAAAAAAATTATTTTCACAAAGTGTGTACATCTGATGTGTCTATGCTGCAATCATTGTTTCACTTTCTTCGAGTAGTGGTAAAGAATCGCTTGATATATATTTTGGATGCTAAAAACAAACAACCAGCAGCAAGTTATTTTAAGTTTCCTGATTTCTGGTTTCTGGTTTCTTATTTGAGACTTGTCACACGAAAGTCGCTGTTTTGTTAGGAAACTTGTTCTGGGGTCGAATCATGCATTCCGCGAACGTATAACTCGTCACGTAAATATAAGTATTTGGCATTACGCCTTACTTGAACGTGTATTTGCCGTCGTAATTCCGTATAAGGGAAGGCCATACGTTAACAAGTATTTCGTTAAGAACTGGACCGCCAGTTAAGGATATCAAAACCAGGAAGAAAGTATACAAACATAAATTTTCCTTTCATTCAAAATTTTTCTCAGCGTTATATTTTAGGTATACCCTAACCGAAAGTACCAGGCGAAAAAAAAATTTCAAATTCCCTTAATCGCCTCCTTATAAATCGTTCATCGACATCACTTTCATCGGGAGATTAACAACAAAATAAAATCCGGTCATAATTGTTTGTACTTGACAAAATATCAAGCATTTTCAAACAGCTGATTAAAAATTGTAAGAGAATAATGTAAAAGATGAACGTAAAATCTTTTACATTTTCAAATAATTAGATCCGTTTCGACCCCAGATCCTCAAAAAAAAAACAGAAAATATAGTCGGTAAACAGAAAAATATCCAAAATTTGTAAAATATATTTATTATAATATTAATTAATTAATTTTATACATAATATGAATAGTCTAATTATCATTCTCTAATTATGTAATTCCATCTCCCAGGGTTCAGGTGTGTTTAGAAAAAAGTCGTTAGGTTGCAGATCATAGAGCCAAATCAAGTTGCATAATTTACACATTTCCCCAATTTTCTTTTCTCAGTGTAGGCACTCGTGACACAATGAATGCTGATTGGCGACTCATTCACTGGAAAGTATGACAGTTGAGCGAATGTTAACAAGGACATGGCACAAATGTCTATGAAATTGCATACAAATTCATATGAATGCAAAATACACCCTCACATACTCGCACATATCTGCTTTACATGTATACAGAAGTAGGTGAAAATCACTGCAGCGTTAATATCAAAACCATTTCCTGCGCAAATGGTTTCCGGTTCTGAAAAGCTTCATCTGAATCTAACCGAAATGGAGCGGCGGATTTCGCGCATTCGGCGCACTCATGCGTTCTCAATATTTAAATTTTTAAATTATTTTTTCAACACTTACGCTGTGAGGTTCGCCTCTTATATTTCAGGAATAACGACGAATATTAATCATCGCAAATAGCTTTATTGTTTTTCAAAACGTTTTCTCAGTCTATATTTTATGTACGAAAATAAAAAGAAATCCATTCGGCAAAAATGCAATTGCTCAGTCGATGTGTCAGAGCTCACATTGTTGTTCTTAAAAGACAAGGGCTTGTGGCCCTTAGTTGTGCACTCTCGGCCAATCGATTCGAGCCTTTGAGCGATTCATACTATTTTTTACAGTCAATTTTTCAAGCTCAGCGCAAATAACGTACGTATGTCAAAACATTCTGAGTATATATATATATAACCGATGAAGCCGAGCTCCTCCTCCTATTTGTGGTTTTGAGTCTTTATGTTTTTCCAGTGTTTTTTCAGCCTCCGAACGGCTGATGGTACTTTTACGAAGAGCCTTTATTTCATGTCTGAAATACACTCGGAGGGATTGACATTTCCTTTGTTTATTTAAATTAATCCATAGCTTTTGGATGTTGGTGGCACGAGATTTGAACCCCAGCCTTTCGAACATCAGTATACAATGCTAACTACTCGGGCACCGCGGCCGTCTGAGTATGTACAGCATCAAAAATGTCACACCTCACGATAAAGTTGCCACGCAAATGAGGAAAGTTTTTGACTGCCTGTCAGAGGCAAGCGAACTAAAGTGAGGGGTGAATCTCCAAGCGGTTGAGCATAGCGTTTCGGTCCCATCACATGACAAGTACAATAGATTGAAAAATCGTCGAAGAAAGCCACTGTTGACAGATCCGATTATGGGTATGCACCTGGAATGTTCGGTACCATAACTGGGAAAGTACCGCTGTCCAGCTGGTTGATGTACTCTTTAAATTAAAGACTGGCATCCCATTGGTTTCGGATTCGTGGTGGGAGAGAAACTCCGTCACCGAGTATTGGCATTCACTCCGATGTATGAACATCTCCCCACAATCCGCATTAAAGAGAAATTGCTTAACATATCGCTGATTTTCGCTCACGTTCGGACGGAAGAGTAAGACGATGAGACTAAGTATACCCTTTATGGGCGCCTGGATTTAACTTATGAGCGTGGCCACCAACACGATGAGAAAATCGTGCTTGGCGACTTTAATGCCGAGGTCCGAGATATGGTTGTACTTATCTCTGCCCACAGAGGCAAACGAAAATATTGTTTTTCGAAAAGGTCGCAAAAACCGCAGTGGAGCCAACTCTGTGCTCTAAAATTCTATGAAAAGATATGGCGACTTACCAAAGGTTTCGAAATCGGGAACAGAGAGGTGAGCTGGTGGGTGATGCCCACTGAGTGAATTGAATTTATTGAAGGAACCCCTCTCCAACCTGATGAATGGAAGTGACGATAGCGATCCCGATTCCTCAATCAACGACAATAGAACGTATGTTTTATTGCCTGACTATGAAGAAGTTCGAAAAGCAATCGCCGGCTTTAAAAATAACAAAGATGTGGAGGTCGATGGATTACCGGCCAAATTATTCAAACATGGCGGTGAGGATCTGATCAGGCATATGCAACAGCTTCTTTGGAACCTAGGTATGCTCTGCCCTATCTACAAAAAGTAGATAGTCTGCGGCAATTACCGGGGGATAAGCCTCTCAAGTATTGCATACAGAGTCCTCTCAAGCGTATTTTGTGAAAGACTAACGATCATCGTCAACAAACGGATTGGACTTTATCAGTGTGGATTTAGACCAGATATTCACAATGCGCCAAATCTTAGAAAATACCCGTGAAAAGAAAATCAATGCATATCATCAGCCCCACAAAGCTTATATAGCTATGTAAACTGACGTTAAGCAACCCGTTGGAAGGATCAGGGGAGCGTGTTCTGCTTTGTCTTGGTATTTCCAACTCGCGCCAAACAGCAAACAGAAGGACCGAGCTGTTGTCGATTCGGCTATAATCGTGTTAGCGCTGCCTACGTCAATGAGGAAGAAGAGCCCTCGTTTCAAGGCAGATTTGTAAGCAATGCAAATATAGCCATTTATACCGATACGCGACCGTTTTTGGGAATTCATTTTAAATTACCGAAATTACCGTAAAATACAATATGTTTAATACTTCTTCGCCAATGAAAAATAAAACTTGAAAGTGAAAGGAGAAATAAATAAAAATGTCCTTCAGTTAATGAAATATGATTTGATATAATTAATATTGTCTCACTTTGTTAAGACCGTGAGTATTCACGTACATAAGTTTATTCGATATGTCGCATTATG